AAAGATATATGAAGAATGAATGAAAGAAGTGAATGTTTTTATTTAATATTTTATATGTATAATTAAAGAAAAACAATTAAAATTATTATTATTGTTATTATTATTTGTAATACATAAAGTAGAAAAACAATTTTGTCACGCAAATGCTATATAAAAGCACAAACGATGTATATAGTGATGTTTTCTGGTTATTTCTGAAAGATGTGATTTTGTAAAATAATTTTATTATATACGGTTGAATTTAGTATAAAATTTCCTTCAATTTTTATTTTTAAAAAAAAATTTAAATTATATAAAAATAATAATGGTGGATAGTTTGACAAATATTAAAGTTTTTGAAAAATCTAAATATACAGTTATAAGAAATTATAAAAGTTTTGTCTATAATATTTTTTATATATCTCATGTTTTGTTGATAATTGATGAGACTCAAATATATACGTAGGCTTTGAGGGGTTGTTTCATAAAATTCAGATTGGGCAGATGTAAAAAAATATATATCTTTTAGATTTTTGTATTTAATAACATATTTCAAGGAGAATCAAATCAATTCGAGAGTTGTGACAGGCACCTTGTAAGAGAGAAATTTACACTATCTTGCATGTATGGATTAATGTATACATTTCCAACAGAATAATTATTTTAAAATTAATAATATTCGTTTAATATAGTTTTTATATTTTTCAAATATTATACAAATCTAAAAATTTTGTAAAAAGTAACTATATTAAGAAAAAATAAATGTATATAAATTATTCAACAAAAAATAGATAATTAAAATATTACACGGTTGTTATTGGGCAAAATTATTTATCTCAACTCAAAATTCTGGTTAACGTAATATTTTTCGCAATAAAAATTTCTTATGGAAACTTTATTTATTATCGAGTTAGTAAAAGAAAGACATAAATTTTTGACTGTTACGTTTCAAAGCGTATTTATCATGAAGCATGTTAGGTAAAAAATGTTCTCTTGCATTTAACAAATCCAAAAATTAAGAAGAATAATAAACATTAAATATCTTACTCAACTATGTAATGCTTAAATTTTTTATATTAAGAAAATTTCGACTATTTTAACCAAAACAAATATATATACATACATACATACATACATACATATATACATTTGCTATTTTATTTTTATATTATAAATATAACTTATAAAATGAATATATATATATATATATATATATTAGTTAGTATTTGTTTATATGTGCACACACACACACACACACACACACACACACACACACACACACACACACACACACACGACACCGACCGAC